AGCCTTTCTTGGGAGAGTATTGTGTATGTTCATGTGCCCCAATACCAGAATGACAGATGCTCAATTAGAGGGTGTTACAGTGCACTGTTGAGGAGCAAATTGCTTGCAGTTGTGACTGTTTATTGCTATAGTGTTACTGCCTCCTTAGGATGGATGGCAGGATGCAAGATTTGGGCCTCCATATACCCTTAGCATTCCTAGCATTCCTCTTTTTTTCCTATGGGATCCTTTAACAGGGCCTGAGACCATTATCCCAACCTTTTGCATGTCTTTACCTGTCTTCTTTTCTTCCTAATGGTTCTCTTATCCATCCTGTCCAGCTGGTGGAGTTGGAGGAGTTTGTGGCTGCTGTGAAGGACGGAGGCCGTGGAGGAACGGCAGGAGACTGACTCCATTCCTCTGGTCGATGACATCCGCTTCCACATCACCAGCAACGTGCAGACTTACAGTGCCATTGAGGAAGCCAACCAGAAACTTGAAGCTCTGGAAAACCTCCTGGCCAGTATAGGGCTCGAGTGCTGATGTGTGCAAACCCTGCCTGTCATATGCAGCCTGCGTAGCCCTCACTGGGTTGGCTCGGAGTGCAAGAACGTCTGAGTCCATTCTTTGTCCTCCTTCCCATACACTTTCAGGCATGGTTTCTTTTTAATTTATTTATGTCTGGACATTTGTGTGTCTGGTTTGTCTTCGTTTTTTCTTTCAGAAGTAGCTCCCGAAGCTCAGCCCAAATCAGTAGCTGCTCCTTTGTGTACAATACAGTGTGGATAGGAGACTGCGAGCTATTGGGAGTGGTGAGGAAGCTGTTCTGGGGACTTCCTGCTGCCTGGGATTAGGACCCATCCTGTTCTGTTGTGCAACAGCACTCTTCTGAAACTGGCTTATGCCAGAATATTTGTTGATTTACCACCAGCAGAGGAAGAAAACTGGATTAAACTCCAAATAAATACATGGGAAAGGAGATCATCACTCACTGTCAGCATTATAAGACTGGTAAAGGTGGGCAGTGCTTCCCTAACAGGGACACAGAGGCACTGTCTTCTCCTGCTATATTAGTTCTTAGATGAAACGAAAACAAAACAAAGTGATTTCCAGGTCTTCCCTGGCTTTTCATTGCTTTGAAATGCTCAGAATTTAAAAGCTTAGCTTTCTGAACAAGCATCTTGGGGAATACAGTAGAGACCAGAATCCTTCTGTTCTTAGAAAGCAGTAGCTTTCAATGCACAAAAGAAGGGAGAGCAGCCCTTTGCTTCCTAATGGGAAGGAAACACCTTGTTCTCGGAAACAGCACTTTTCCCTTTCTCTTTGTCCACTGTGGTAGAGCAAAACTGACTTTCTGTGGGCCAGGGGAGAGGGGTCACTGGAAATCTTTTTTTAAAGGACGAAGGACCTTCTGGGTCCCTCACAGGGCTGCTGTCCCACTTGTCGACCTTCTGGCTTTGCTCAGCCTTGAGCCTTGTAGCTTCATTGTTCTCCAGGAAATTCACTGTTTGTACTAACAAATGTTTTTGAATCTGTGTTCTGCAGTAGGTCATGTTATCTCATGTCTCCCTGGACTCCTAATGAGGGTAATGATGTTCTATCTCCTTGGCACTAATCAGCAGGTGATACCCCTGCATAAAGCTTGCCTTGCCAAGTAGGCTGCCCTTGGAGCTGTCCATCTCTGGAATCCTGGGTTGGGAGAGTCTCGGGTCTCCAAGGCACAGTCTGGGCATACTTTGCTGTGCTGTATTGGGAGGGAGAAGAGGCATTGAGTGAAGCAGACAGAGAATCTTGCACAGGGACTGGCCTGCCATTAGCAATGTGTAAGGTCATTTTGGTCACTTTGTGAGGCAAGAGCTTGATATATACTATGTCAGGTGTGCTGCTGCTATGTGATGTGAGAACTAGGCATGGATCCCCTGCAGCCTCAGGGTATTGTTTTCTCTAATGGTGGTGGTGCTTCACGTAGGTTTGAAGATCTGGCATTTGGCAGGGACTCGCCTCAGGTGTGGATGTACTAGGAGGATGGGTTTCTTTTCTTTGCTAACCTTGCCAGGTGAGAGACTGATGTCCCCACACCAGGTGAGAGCTGCAGCCTCACTGTACCTGGCATGTGTTGAAACTGTTGGCAGGTATGTGGGCAGGCTCTGGGCACCACCTGAACTAGACAGTCTGGGTTTGTTTCAGTGAGGAGGGGGCACTGGGCTTTGGCCACTGTACTTGAGAGAAGCCAGATTTTGGCAAAATCATGTGTCAGGATTGAGTTGCACTTAACCGTTACTGGGGTAGGGCTGAGAGGAGGGCAGGGATGAGGTGCATTGATGTAATTGAACCCCAGATGCTTGGGCACTCTCATCTGTGTTTAAGTGTTGTCTCTTGTAGATAAGTCTCTGGGGCAGGGGGTGGTGGTAGGGCTTTTCAAGCAGGGTGTGCTTCAATTCTGTTCCAGAATGCTTGGGAGGAAGTGCAAGGAGTTCTTGTGGTTTGTTTTCTGCAGCCATATTAGGGTGAGGGAAGCAGATGTGTCCCTGCAGGGGTGTGTTGCTGTATGGAAGCAGGAAGCAGCAGGAGTGTGCTTCTCTTTGGGATGGTGACATGGGGAAGAGCTGTGCATTTGTTGTGTGATCTGTGGAATGTACATCCACATTTATCTCTAAGCTCAGTGTGGCTTTGACAGGACCACCAAAGAGCCCAGCATAACCTGTACTGATAAAGGCATCTCCATGAACTTAAGGAGGGGAAGGGCAATTGAGAAAGCTTCAACGTGAAGGCCCATATATTTTGGAGAAAGAAGGATGAAAGCGGAACTGCCTGTTTTCTTGCTGAGAGAGTGTCAGGCTTATAAAAAGCCTGCTACAGAAACCAAGAGCTTTGGTTAAGACCCAGCTGGTTCAGTTCCCCTGCATTTCTCCTCACTATGTGGCTAAAGATGACATTGAACATAAGCAGGATGTTTAGTTTATCACATCCCTTCTACTCCTCCAGCATAAATTCTACATCTGACATCTTAGTAGTCAGCTTTCTCCAGCAATGGTTGTGACAGCCCTGCACAAGGTTTGCATGGAGCCACAGAGAACAGAACGTGGCCTTTGCCTTCTGCTTGTAGTGAGTGAGATGCAGGAACAGGATTACCAAGGAATGTGCTAATGCTTTTCTCTGCAGATGCCTCAGCTGCTAAAGCAAATGGACACTGGCAGTGGGAAAAGCAGGAGGAAGGCAGTGGAGGGGCAGCAGTGCTGAGAAGCATTTTCCATATGGCTGCTCTTGGGTAATTTCATGCCTGTGTCCTTATGCATGGAGCAATTGAGGCTGCAGTTGTACATGTGGGAGGAAAGGTCAGTGTGGCCTTTTGATCTGCCTGTCCAGCAGTGCAGGTCGACGTGGGCTGCCAAGCAAATGCCTCGTCTGTCTGTGTGCACTTAGTGATCACATCTGTGAGACCAGTCAGATTGTCCAATTACTCGGGATTCTTTTACCCCTATCCCTTTTGGCAAAATAGGGCTATCCAAAAGCAAGCATAAGCAGATGGTCAGCATGCAGGCAAGCTCTCTAATTAAGATGAACCAGGACAAAACTTAGATTTGAATTCACTTTATTCTTGCTGCAAATAATTTTATCACAAAATAAAAACCTTCTGATTTTTCTTCTGTTGCCAGTGTCCTTTTTGTGTTTTGTTGCCTCTGTCCTTTTTATTTTCTATGAGCCACCTGCTGAATTAAGAAGATTGTAAAATTCATCAGAGCAACAGTATATTTAAGAAGAAATGTGTAAGCATGTGTGCAGCAATAAAATAGTTTATTTCACTATATCTGTCTGGCTGTGGCTCTTTTGTTACCAACTGACAACATCAGTGTGGCTTTACTTCTGAAAGGACTCAGTGAGCTCCCCAGGCCAAGGGCTGGCTCTGCACTGCCTGGCTTCCAAGCAGTGAGGAAAGTGTGACAGTGCTCTCCTCTCCTGGTGACCTGGGTGTACAGTCCTGACAGAACAGGTGAGTAAAGCACAGACTTGTTTTTACTGGCTCCTTTCTCCCAGCATTATTCTGTGTCTGTAGCAGCACCATAGCACAGGTTTGGTCAGTGTGGTGGTGTGTCAGGGAGGTGGTGCTTGTCTTGGAAAGTTGTTCTGAGCTGCCCCTGACAGGTAAGCTGTCCTTCCCTCTCGTCACCCTGTGCACTCATCATTGCTGACTGTCCTTTAAACCCAAGGACAGAGATTACTCAGCCTTTGTGGTTAACTGCTCTGATTCATTCCGTGCGCTCGTTGAGTCTGAAGCATGAGTTGTCCAAAACATTGAGTCTGCTGAAGTGCCTGGGCAGTCCTTCCTCTCCTCTCTGAGGACACAGGCACTTGTTTTCTCTTCTGCTTTCTTGTATGCCTGGGTGGCTGCACTAATTTTGGTAAAGGCAATAGCTGAGCTCTCTGTGTGCAGACCCTGCTGAGTTCAGTGGGACTGGTGTTCAGGGAATGAGCATCCGTCTTGTCCCTGTTGTTCTCTGTAGGAATATGCAGTTTTCACAGTGGGGGGAATACTAATAACATCTGAATGACTAATGCTGTTGAAGGGAGGAACTGGACTTAGAAAAGTTCAAGGTTTAATCAGGTTTTTGGGACTCAACCAACAGTGCCCACAAGGAGCATCATTATGCTGTGAGAGCCTGGAGTAAATGATGAGCCTCTCCAAGAGGCTTCAGCTGTTCATGGTGTACATTTATGGTCAACCCGTGGAGCTGGCACCTTTGCACATAACAGTTCATGGTCGGTATGCATTGACAGACCTGTCTGCTCAGGGTGACACTGTGGTTTTTCTCTCTCCTGCTGTGGGCAACCTGGCAAAGCCCATCACAGTGTGGGGAGCTGGATTGCATCTCTGCTCAGCTCCCAGGGATGAATGAACCTGGCTAGAGCCAGCATGGGAAACCACAGCTTGGCTTGGTTCTCTGCTCACAGGGGGTAGATGTGCTGGCAGAGCAGGGTTTTGTTTTATCTTCTAAGCTAAAACAGATTTGACATAACAAATGTATTAAAATATGAGAGGCCACACTGGCAAGCCATTTTTTAGAGTCGGGGCCTGTTTTGAATAAAGGCATTGGCTCTGCTGAGGTTGGTGTCTGCCTTGAGCAAGTGCTGAGGGAGAAGGGCAGAGAACTCTTTATCTAGGTTGCAGGTGGTTTCTAGGGTTTTAGGCTGGAAATCAGGTGTGGGTTGTTGGCAATAACTGGGTCAAGGGATGTAGAGACAGTCCATTAATCAGGGGACAGCAGCCACATTTGGATGGAGCTATAGACATACAGCTCCTTAAAGCCAAAGTCAAGCTACAAACTTCAAGCTTATGTGTGATCAGCATCTGGGGAAGGGGGCAAGCATGCACATGTCCTTCACTTCTCCTAGTTGTGGTTAACTTTGTAAGCCTTCAAGTGCAGGGCAAGGTTTGAAGGGCATTTCAGCAGACTAAAGAAAGAAGGCCTTGGAAGAGGATCAGTACCATGCAAACAGCTTGCTCTGGTCCCAAGGGTCTCGCTGCTCAGTTCCCAAAATAAGCTCTGAGAAATGAGTGTGAGAGCTTTCCTCTCCCTCCTTTGGTTACCAGCAGAACAAGCTCAAGAGGAAAGAGAGTAGGATTGGAAAGCGAGACCC